GCTGGGCCTTTGCAGGGGTTGGGGAAGAGCAGTCTCTCGGGAAAAGAAGCGACAGAGCATCAAGGGCAGGGAGCCAGCAGAGGTGGGAGAGGCCCAGCAGCGCTGGAAGGAGACAAGGAAACCTCCTCGTTGGGAGTCTGGCGTGGCAGGGCAGCCCAGCAGACGCTGTGCAGTCACCTAGATTGAAATCTCCTGGGGGAGGGGGCCCAGGAATCTGTGTTTGCAGAAGTTGTTACAAGTGATGCTTATCATCAGGAAAAGTTGGGGATACTCAGGTTTAAACGTTAGGCAGTGTTGTACTAGAAGGGTGTGTGGCAATAGGAAAGAAAGAACATCTGGAAGAGTACTTGTCTAAGAAGACTCCAGAGATCATGGTGACTAAAGAAGGAAATGAACCAAGGGTACGGCCAAGTTCATCAGCTTCAGGGACCAGACAGAGTGACACCTGAAACAGTCAGGTAGGCTGCCAACGTGGACGCTGAGATGTGGGGTTTGAGAGAACAGTGAGGAAGGATGAGGGTGGACACCACAGTCACACCTTGCTTTGCAGAGACCTAAGGTATGTAAATGTTTCACTAAACCAACTGGAGGCGAGGGTCTACTTTACAAAAGAACTCTTCACAAAAGGCATCATCATGAGGGCCCTTTAGAACAGTGGCTCAGCCCTGGCTGTGCATCAGCCTCACCTGGGAGCTTCGAAAGATCCCAGTGCCTGGGAGGAAGAGGCTGACAGGCCACCAGCACGTATTTTCTGCAAAGAAACAGAAAATTCCGATGCCTAGGCTGTACCCCAGACCAATTAAATCAGAACCTCTGGGGGTGGAGGCCAGGCATCAGTATTTTATTAAAGCTTCTAGTGTGAGCCAAGACAGCCTTGTAAACAGAGCTCTATCTCCCCCAGCAAATGTCAACATTCAATTTCCAATCTGGAAAAAAGTATCAAAAACATTCCCAAGAAACGTCTGTTAGCCTTTGAACCAGCAATTTCACTTCTGAGAATTTACCTCAAGCATATAACCAGAGATACGAACAATCATTACTATCCAAAGATGTCCAGCACAGCATTATTTATAACAGCAAATAAAAAGCATGAAGGAACCCAGAGGAAAAAGTGCTAACTGCTGGGAGGAGTGACAGAAGGGGAGAACAGAATGAGAGTCTTACTGAGACAAAGAAGGGGACAACACCAGGGAGGCAGGCACGCACTACCATCAGGACAGAGAAGAGCTTATTTCATGTTTTAACCCAGACATTCGTTGGGGAGGAGTGGCACAGTGGTTAAGCACTGGGCTGAGAACTGAAAGGTCAGTGGTTCCAATCCACCAGTCGTTCCACAGAAGAAAGATGTGGCAGTCTGCTTCCGTGAAGATTTACAGCCTTGGAAACCCTATGGGGCAGTTCTACTCTTGTTGGAATTGACTTGATGGCAACAATTGGGTGGGACAGGGGTCATCTTGTCTACACAGTGCAAGCCTGAGACCAGAAAGGAGAGAAAATAGGGAGGATCCTTATTCCTCCAGTACCAGGAGAGTCGATGAGAGCAGTTCAGTCCCCTAAATGGTAGATGAGAACACGGTAGGCCAGATGCAGTGCTTCCAAAATAACACTTTGTGCCAAGAATCGCCCAGGATCTAGATAAAATCTGATTCCACAGGTCTGGGGTGGGGTCTGAGATTCTGGAGTTAATTTTGTTGTTGTTATGTACATATGAACAATTCAACGACATTGATTACATTCTTTGAGTTGTGCAACCATTTTCACTCTCGAGATCCTGCCTCTCTAATAAGCTCCTGGGTGATACGACTCTGCTGGCCACTGACCATACTCTGGGCAGCAAGGGACTGGAGTTAATACAAACGAGCCATACCCACCCACCAGAAAACAGCCTGCAAGCTCACGGACAGCTAAAAGCTGAAAACCAAACCAGTAAAATTCTTAAACGGGAACCTAATTTACTGTGTAAACTTTCACCAAAAACATACTGTTATTAAAAAAAAAAAAAATTGCCATTGAGTTGATTCCAACTCACGGCAACCCCGTATGTGTCAGAGTAGAACTGTGCTCCACAGGGTCTTCAGTGGCTGATTTTTCAGAGGCATCTTTCTTCTGAGGCATCTCTGGGTGGACTTGAACCTTTCAGTTAACAGCCGAGCACTTAACCATTTGCACCACCCAGCAACTCCAGGTAATGTTATTTTGCAGGGGAAAAAAACCAACTTTACAGCTGTCGACACCAGTGGCATGATTCCATATCAAGTGACTCAGGAATGTGAACCATGTACAGCAGAGTACAACTCTGAAGTTTAAGCGTCAAAGGTCGAGAGTTACAGGACATCCCAAGAATGCCAAGGTTCTCTGATTTTGATTCCTCAAATCTTGGGTAAGCACCTCCCAGGCCAGGGATACAAAGAGCTGCCAGTGTAAAATCGAAGCGAGAACTCAGCACAGAAACGTTCTCAAAACAAGGCACTGAACGGGTGATTTGGGGGACTGTGGAAGGATCCGCCCAAAGCTGTGACTTAGCCAAGGGCTCGGTTCAGCAAGAGGGTCTTCTCAGGAAAGAAACAGTGAAGTAATTCAATCAGAGCTAGAATTTTGGAAGCTGCCACACGTGTGACAGGTGTGTCATGACACCTCACAGTGTGGAGCAAAGTAATTTCAAATGGCTGGAAAAGACAAATTGTTTAAACATTACTTCCAAGTGCTTTTAGCTAAACAAGTGGAAGTGAGAGACTTTTTAACACTCCATATACCTTCTTTTCACAGGTCAAGTCCAGGCTGATTCCCTTTTCTTTAAAAGTCAGCCTTTGAGTCAGATACAGGGCCTGAGGCCAGATTACCTGTTTCACTTCAGTAACTCATTTAACGTGGCAAAACGAAACCCAAAGTGTGTTTAAGAACACGTGCACGCCACCCAGAGATCCTGGTGAGTGGCCTTCTCCCGGGCAACTGCCCACAAACAGCCAAAATCCATGCAGCCTGGGCCACTTTCCTTAACCATAAAGCCCAATGAGGAATGTGTCAACAGAACTGTACGGTAAGAATGTTCTGGGTGTCCATGTTTCTCCAGTGGCCCTTGAGAGGAAGGATGCCCTGTCTGGAGCTGAAACAATGAGCTGCACATGAGGGACAGTCTACCCCTATAGAGGAGGTGACAGGGGCAGTGGTGGGTCAGTGGTAGAATGCTCACCTTCCATGCGAGAGACCCAGGTTCAAATCCTGACCAGTGCACCTCATTTGCAGCCACCACCCATCTGTCAATAGAGGCTCACATGTTGCTATGATGCTGAACATAGGCTTCCATGCTGTACCATGATGACCCCACCACACAGCTGAGCACCCTGTAACGTCTCCCCTCCCTAAACTGGAGGCCTCTTGGGTCTTTAATTCTGTATCCTCAGCACCTGGCCCACAGCAGAAGCTCCATAAAACCTGCTGAGTGAACTGAAGTTTTGTCCTCAAGACCGTGATGGTATCAGAAAGTCAGAAAACTGAGTACCTGAGTTGAAACTGTAAGAGTTTCAACCTCTTTCTCCAACCTCCCTCTCCTTGTACCCTAGAAAGCCTCTGGACCACGGTCAAGGCCTGTGGTGCCCTTAGTACACTCATCCTGGGCTGCGCCACAATGGACCTCCCGGGAGTGATAGAAAGGAGGCAAGCATGCACTGACAACCTCATCAGAGATAACTGTGAACATCTGCTGACCGATCTGCTCCTTTAATCTGATAATGTGATTCATGACATTAGTTGATTTTCTAACATTAAACTAATCTTGGCTTACTAGATGCTGGATCCCAGTATTTGGTAGCAGATTTTTGCATTTATGTTCATGAGTGATGTTGGCCTATTATTTTCTTTGTGTAGCCCTTACAGATTTAGTATCAATACTCTGGGAGAATTTGTGTAACACTGGAATTACATTACTTCCTCAGCAATTGTCAGAACTCATTAACGAAGCCATGTGGACCTTGGGTTTCTCTTTAAGGGATAATTTTTACCTACTAATTCAGTGTCTTTAATGACTATAGGACTATTTTGATTTTCTATTTCTTACTGAAACCATTTGGAAGACCCTCAACAAGATGGATTGACACAGTGGCTGCAACAAATGGCTCAAACATAGCAATGATTGTGAGAATGGCACAGGACCCGGGCAATATATCCTTCTGTTGTGCATAGGATTGCTATGAGTCAGAACCAACTCCAGGGCACCTAACAACAATTTTTCTAGAGAATTCCAAATATTTGCATTACAAAGGTAACTGATATCTGGAATGCTGACACTGAGGTGAGCTCTGCAAGAAATTAAGTGCCTTGTGAATCAGCAGAGAAATAACAGATCGTGTGTACTGCGTATTATAATTTATAGAAGTATTGCCCATATAGAACCTCACCTGAAGACCAAAGTCTGGGTGGTTCTGATGTCCTTTGATGTCTAATTACATGCAACCCACTGCCACAGAGTCAATTCCGACTCATAGTGACCCTGGAGGACTGAGGAGACCTGCCCCATGGGGTTTCCAAGGTTGTAAATCTTTCCAGAAGCAGACTGCCACATCTTTCTCCCCCAAACCGACCGCCTTTCGTTTAGGAGCCGAGCTCCTAACCACTGCGCCACCAGGGCTCTAATTATTTGCAAAGGGATGAGTAAATGCCTATTTAGCAGAACAGCTGAATCAGATCAACATCCTATTGCTGGCCACGCAAGGAATTGTTGTGGAGGTCTGTACATGTATTAGATTACTCACTGAGAAACTCCTGGGAGTCACTCGTCATTAACAAGACGAAGCAACCACCAAGTGCCTTAGGAGTGCCCACATTAGGGGTCAGGAGTGTACTTAGCTCATAGAAACCCTCCCCAAGGCCAGGCTGGCAATGGAAAATCTAGTGACTGGCATGTTTACTAACACGGGTGGAGCCACCTCTGCCTGTGGTTTCACCGGCCACGTGGCCAGGGACGCGGGGGGCAGCGCCCCTGCTATAAGTCAGAGCACACTCACCAGCGCCTCAAAGTCCTTGCAGTCGTGGCGGGCATAAGAGGCGGGGAAGGGCCGCAGCACCGAGTCGCGCTTGTAGCTCTGCAGGGCCGAGGCGAAGAGGCTGCACCGGAGGTCGGCGGCCAGCACGTCGCGGCCGGCCGCCTCCCTAGCTGCCGCCCAGCCGGAGGACTGCATCCTGGGCTGGGGCGCGTTGCCGGGGGAGACGCGCCGGTCAGGGGCGAGGACTGAGCTTGTGGTCAGCGCGGGGCCGGGCGCTGGGACAAAGGGCCAGAGGGCCCGGAGTTCCCAGGCCTGGGGTGGAGCTAGGCAGGGGGATGACAGCGGTGAGAACGTGCTGACGAGCGTCTTCCGCGGGGGTCCGAGCCCGGGCGCTCGCTGCCGGAGGGGAGACAGGCTGGTGGAGGAGAGGGTCCGGGCTGGACTGCGGGTCAGCGCGTGCGGGTGGGCCCAAGCATAATGGGGCCGGGGTCCCAGGCCTGGGGGAGGGGCTATGACATGGGATGAGATGACAACGGCGGGAACGTGCTGATACGTGTCCCCTGCAAGGCTACGGGGTGGGGGTGGGGGCTCCCCAGAGGGGACCGCAAGCAGAGCCCCCTCCCCGCGCCAGGCCAGGTGCGGCGCCACCCGTGCCTTCCTGTCCCGCCTCCGGCCAGCGCCACCGAAGCCCCAGTGCTCGCCCGGCTGTCCTTGGCGCCGCCTGCGCTCCGCCTGCCGCACACGTCCGCTCGTCTTACCCAGCCCCTTGCGGCCTCCCACGCCCCGCCGCGCGCGCCCTGGCCTACCTCCCCATCC